TCATGACATGAGAAAATCATATAAAATTTAAATTTCAGTGCCCATGAAGTTTTATTGGAACACAGCCACATCCATTTGTTGACAAACTGTCTACAGCCAGTTCTGTGTTAAAATAGCAGAGTTGAGTCTAAGACAGAGCCAGTATGGCCTACAAAACCTAAAATATTTAGTATCCAGTCCCTGAAAGAAGAGGTTCCTCGACCTCTTACCCTTAGGGCCTGTATTACCATCACTCTCCAACACTACTCCCATCCAAGTTTTAAGAAGTTTCAATATACATCCAAATGATCTCTTTAAAATTCCCATCTCTCAGTTCTTTGACTCAGTTCCTCCAATGATCTCTTCTATCCTGCATAAGCCCTTCATGTCCCTGGTCATAACCCCTAGATTCTGATATTACTAAATTAACTGTCACTCTTTCATAACCTTCATTTCACATATCTTTACTATCTGACTACCACTCTCATATTTCCAATTCACTCTGAACTACTATGACAATTCTTTAATATTCATCCTGTTTATTGGCCCTCATCCATTTCTGTCTTCATTTAACTTAACCCCTCACATTTATCTTCAACGCATGCTCCCTACCTAGTTAAATCAAACTGTGTGCCCACATCCATACAGCTAGACAAGAATGGAGAGAGATAAAAGGTTACACAAACTTGTATCACTTTAAATTCCTGAATATAAACCTCAAGTGGGACATTGTGTCCACCCGGCAATCATGATAAATATCAGTAGTAAGTTTTCTTTCACATTATTATAGTTCACTATTTCATTTATATATAGCTCACCTTTTTCCTTTGCTCAGATTTGTAACACTCCTTTCTTGCCAATACGACTGAATTTTTCAGAAGAGATTTTCCACAAAATCTTACATTTACCTATGCCCAATGTTTATTCTCAAATCTCTGTGCATTCTCTCCAGTTACTAAAGCCACTTCAACATGGCATCTCATCCCTTCTCATATTCCTTTTTTTTTTTTTTTAAGTTTTTTATGCCATAGGGTGTTTGCATTTGTCAGAGAGAGACAGAAAAAGGAAAAGTGAGAAATCACCCCCTCCCCCTCCCCCCGCCCCCGGGAGAGGCCACAACACAATACCTTCTTCTCCATTCTCCTCCTGGGATCTAGGGTATGCACGCACAACATGCCCAGTGCAGGCCTCAAGCCACCGGGTCCAGGTTTTAAACCGCAGCAGGCCATGTAAGAGTCCAGTAATGTAACCACGCCATCTTCTGCAATCTTCCTGTCTCCTGTTATCATTATTTCCCCCTCTCTAATGGATAATTCCTACTATCTGGTTGTCAGGAAAGTCATGCCAGATTTTTGCATAGAGAAGCAAATTAAAGGGGTCAGCAGATGGCGCAGCAGTTACATTGCTGGACTCCCACATGACTGACCTTGGTTCAAGTCCCAGACCCAGTGACTTAAAACACACCAGGCATGTGTGTGTACATGCCCAAGATCCCAGGAGGAGAATGGAAGAGAAGGGACTGTGGCATGGCCAACCCCCTTGGAGGGGAGAGGTGATGATGTCTCACTTTCCCTCTCACTGTCTCCCTCTCTCTCGTTTCTTGCTCTCTCTCCAGAAAGTGCACACACCCTAAAGCAAAAACCTCATTTTTTTTTTAAAAAAAAACGGGGAAAGAAAGAACAGAAAAATTAGTAATGACTTTCCCAACGACCTAATAGTACAGTAGCATACTGTTATTACCTCTCATTTAAAAAATATTTAACTGAGCCAGCTAGTGGCCTAGTAGTTAAAGCAGCTGGATCCACATGGCCAGCTGTGGGGGTCAGTCACAGACCTTGCAGCTTGAGGAACATGCCAGGTATGTGTGTGTGCCTAAAATCCCAAACAGAGTTAAGAGACGGAGGACCATTATCCATGTAGGAGGGAGGCCCATTCTCGATTTCCCTCCCTCAATCTTACTCTGCCAGCACAGGCACCCTCTGGCAAATTTAAAACTCCCGTATCATCCCTACTTTCATGAACAGTTATCACCTATTTCTCTGCCCTCAAAGCTCCTTTAAGCAATCATTTATAGGGACTGTCTGAATTATCTCCTTCCATTCTATTTTTTTCTTCCACAGGTGCACATAGGAAAGAAAAACACAATAGGGTCTTGATGCAGCAATCAAATGGCTAGCCATTATATTATTATAAATGACACTTTTTTCCTCCTTTAATTTGGCTTCCAGCATGCCACATCCTCTTGGTTTTCTTTCAAATTCTGACCTCTTCTAGTCTCCTTTGCTGGTTGCAACTCTCCTCCCACACCTGACACAGGAAGCCCACCGGCCTTCTAAGTCTTCTCCTATTCTCTACCTGCACTCACTCTTCCTTTGGTGATTTCATCCAGTCTCATCTTTAAGTAACTCCATATGCATATAACTCCTAATTTTCTCTGAAGTCTAGACCTCTTTCCTAAATGTCAGACTATGAACACAACTGAGTAATCAATACCTCTACTTGGATGTCTAATAGATATTTAATATGTCCATGGTAGGCAAAACAGCCCTCATCCCCAGATGTCCCTATCCTAATGTCCCTTCCCTAAAGGGGGAAATATATGTTACTTGGCCTTATGAGTATTAAGTTAGAGAGATTGTCCCAAGCATCTCAGGTAGACCTAATGCAATCACATCAGCACTTAAAATAAGAGACCTTTTCCTGTCAAACAACAAAACGGATTCAAAAGTGGTAATATCAGAAAGAGTCCAAGTGAGAGAAAGATTCAACATGCCAATGCAGGCTCTGAGATGAAGGAGAAATCACATAATGGAGAACAAGGATGTGAAAGAAGCTCTAGGAGCTAAGGGTACTCTCACATTGACAAGACAGCAAGGAAATGGGTACTGCAGTCACTGAAGCACAAGGAAATGAATGCTATCAATAACCTGAATTAGCTGAGCAGAATCTTGATTTTGGTTTTGAGAGGCCCGCGGTAGCAAAACCAGCCAAGTCTACTAGACTTCTGGCCTACAGAACAGGGATGTAACAAGTTTATGTTGTTTTAAATTGCTAAATGTACAGTAAATGGTCCTAGCAGCAATGAAAAATGAACACCATATACAAACTGACTTTCCCCTCAATCTACTATATTCATACTTTTCCCCACCTTTGTTAAAGAGAAACTCCATTCCTCCATTTATCTGGGCCAAAATGTTTGGGATCATTCTTGGGTTTTCTCTTTATACTTCTAACTTATCTATAAGAAAATAACATGGGGGGCCAGTAGGTGGCACAGCTGTTGAGACACTGGACCCCCCCTGCATGGCTGACTATGGTTCACGTCCCGGAACTGGTAGACTGCTTTCTTACTTAATTACTCTCTCTCTCTCTCTCTCTCTCTCTCTCTCGTTAAATTAAACAATAATAATAATAAATAAAGTAATTCTTTCAAAAAAGAAAGAAAGTAATGTGGGATTCACTTTAAATAGATTCATAATCTGACCACCTCTCGCTGCCCTCCACTCTTACTACCATTTCCCTATGAATTATTGCAGTATGGTGCTAACGGTCTCCCTGCTTCTGTTCTTTACTCTGTAGTCTACTTAAAAGCAGCAGCAGTCAGAAGGCCTTTCAAAACTCAAGGCAGAATATGATACATCACAGTGAAGAACCCTTCAGTAGCACACTTTTCATTCAATCTGAAAGATAAAAATCTCTTAAACCCCCACACAACCGTGCATGATTGGCCACTCATCTCTCCTACTGCACTCTCTACTTACCTACTCTGTCTCCACTACTTGTCCCTGCTTCTGCCCATTTTCTTATAAACCGCATGATAATAATCTTAATAATATTTATCACTTATTGAGTAATGCTTACTATGAACCAGATACTATACTACTTGCTTTAAACCTATTATCTCATTCGATTTCACCAGTTATTTCTCATACTTTACAGATAATGTAGTTAAGTCACAAAAAGGTTATGTAACCTAAGCACTCAATTGGTTAAGTGGTAAAGACAGAATTCAAAATTACAGGTGGATGGTCTACACCACAGCCTAAAACTCTTAACTTCAAGGATGCCTCTTTCATTATCCTTTCTTAACCTTTGAAGTCATAAAAAGTCTTTGAAGACTAAACAGAAGGTAGCATAAAGGACTAAGAAGTGGGACTCCTAAATGATTAATGTTTATCTGGTTGGAAAAGTGGAAAAGGTCAGAGAATTAGGACCCTGGAATGAAAGCATTTCTACTTAGAGGTAAAAATCAGACATAAAGAGTTATAGGCAAAATATGATACTTAAAACTTACTTTTTCTGTAGTAACAGTTAAGGATGGAACCAATGCAGGGGATGGTTCTGGCTGTTTCTTATGTTTTTGTTTGTGTTTGTCCTTTTCTTTATATTTCTAGAATGAAAAAAAAGTAAGATCCAATTTAATTTATAACATAAGCAATATAATACATGTACTAGATTCTTTTATAATTACTTGCTAAATTAAAATAGTAACAATACTTCTGTCAAAAAATAACTTAAAATTCACTTCCTCTGATCATAGTATTACTTTATATATAACAAGTAAAACTAATATAAGTTGTTTTTATTTTAAGTGGCTTCAGCTTTCTTATCCTTGGTCAATCTAAAATATCAATAAACAGCTGAAGTCTACAATTATTTTTTATATTTATGTTCAGCAAAATATTGGGCTATCAGAACAGTCATGACACATTTTTCATAGAAAAAATATGTCATGACTTTCCAATGGCCCAATAAATGTATTTTATCGTTAAAAACAGCAGAGACTAGGATCACCAGATGGTGTAATGATTATGTCACTGGACTCCCATGTAGTCTACCACGGTTCGAGTCCCAGACTTGGCAGCTTAAAACTAACCAAAGCATGTGTGCACATGCCCAAGATCCTGAAAGGAGAATGGATTGTGGCATGACCACCCCCATGGAGGGTGATTTCTCACTTTCTGTCTCTGTCTCTCCACCAAGTGTACGTGCCCTATAGTAAAAATCTCTCAAAAAAGAAAAAAACAGACCCACCAAAGACTTTCATGGATATTTTATAAATGGCACTTTTTAAAAGCACTTCACATGCATTATTTCATTTTATTTTAATAGTGCCAAATTCTCCCCTACGATGCACTGAATTCTGTACCCAGAAACTAGAGATGATGGCATAGAAATTCAGACAAGAAATTAATTTCTAGGTTTGCCCAGAAAATGGATGATTTATTATCTCTAATCAAAAAAAAAAAAAAAAAAAGAGAGAGAGAGAGAGACAGTGTGCTGTTTAGGAAGTACTAAAACTAAAAAACTGAATATAAAAAGAAATTCAATTAATAAGAAATTAATTACCTATTAGAAGACCAACTTCATTTAATGCCAAAGAATTTTAAACAAAACATACTTATTTGAATAAGTAGATTAAGAAATAATACTTAGCATGATATTTACTACTATTTAAGGAATTGAATTTATTTCTCGTGGAACTTAAATTTAACCACTTGGAGCACTTACTTTGTTCAAGGCAGGAAAGATTGATAATAATATTAGTATCACTGTCCCTGCCCTAAAAGTGATTACATACCCACTGAACAAATTGTATTAAAATAACGGATACATGTTTATAATTCCTGTTCAAAGCACATAATCCATTTTCAACCTCAATTTTAATAATTTAGCACAATAATGCTTCATACACAGACTTTTAAAAAAAAACTTTATTATCCTAACTGTATTTAACTACAGTAGATAATGATAATCCCTAAGATATTATGCCTTTATTAATTGTGATGAGATATCATAGGTCCTACTATAATAAGATACTTTCCTTTCCACTCCCTTGAACCTATAGTTAGCCTGTAACTTGCTTTAATCAACAGAGTGTGGCAAAAGTAATGGTATACAAGTACAGAAGCCTAGAGCTTTAATAAGTGCTGCATGACTTCTACCTTTCCCACCATGGATCCCAGACACCATGTGAGAGAGAGAGAGAGAGACAGTGTGCTGTTTAGGAAGTACTAAAACTAAAAAACTGAATATAAAAAGAAATTCAATTAATAAGAAATTAATTACCTATTAGAAGACCAACTTCATTTAATGCCAAAGAATTTTAAACAAAACATACTTATTTGAATAAGTAGATTAAGAAATAATACTTAGCATGATATTTACTACTATTTAAGGAATTGAATTTATTTCTCGTGGAACTTAAATTTAACCACTTGGAGCACTTACTTTGTTCAAGGCAGGAAAGATTGATAATAATATTAGTATCACTGTCCCTGCCCTAAAAGTGATTACATACCCACTGAACAAATTGTATTAAAATAACGGATACATGTTTATAATTCCTGTTCAAAGCACATAATCCATTTTCAACCTCAATTTTAATAATTTAGCACAATAATGCTTCATACACAGACTTTTAAAAAAAAACTTTATTATCCTAACTGTATTTAACTACAGTAGATAATGATAATCCCTAAGATATTATGCCTTTATTAATTGTGATGAGATATCATAGGTCCTACTATAATAAGATACTTTCCTTTCCACTCCCTTGAACCTATAGTTAGCCTGTAACTTGCTTTAATCAACAGAGTGTGGCAAAAGTAATGGTATACAAGTACAGAAGCCTAGAGCTTTAATAAGTGCTGCATGACTTCTACCTTTCCCACCATGGATCCCAGACACCATGTAGAGACTCATTCTACTCTCCTCTGACAAAGAGGCTGAGTCTGTTTTTACACAACTAGCAGAAATACCTGAGGCTAGTAAGTAACAAAAGAGTACAATTTAATAACTCAAACCACTGGCGGCTGTAAAGTCCAAGGGTGTCATACAGTAGCATCGAAAAGGATTTTTAACCGAGTATGATCATTATCATACAGCTGTCTCTCTGCCCCTGTGGTCTTATACCCTCCGCTTATGTACCTGTCACAACTAAACAGAGGTCCTACCCTAGTGACATTAGCATATCAAAGGCATCAACCTGGGACACCATAAGGGAATTAAGTTTTCAATTAATACCTTTACAATACAATGACATCTTCAACACATGAATTTCTGGGAGATATACAATCACTGCCCAGTAAGACCAAATCAAGAGATGAAACATTAGGGAACAAATCATGATCCAAACCATAACAGAAGCTAAGTGGAAAACGAGGCCATATTAGAAAGAACTGAGGTACCCCAGCCTAGAGTCAATAGAACATAAGACACGTAGAAAAGACCAACACTGACCACCCAGCCAACAACTAGCTTAATATAGGCTCATGAGTAAACCCAGCTGGTACCATGAAAGAAAGATGAATTGTCCTGATTGATCTCTTACTGTTATGGGCCACTACAAGTTCTGGGGTGGTCTATCAAACAATAGTAACTAAAACAAGACTACAATATACAACCATGGGAGTTAAAGGACAAATTTTCTATAACAATAACAGGATTTTTTTTTCTAATTTTTTCTATATATGTTAAAATAACATATTTAAGTTATAAATATGAGGTTCAAATGAGCCTGGTCTATAAGTGCTTTATCAATATGTTCTCCCTATTAAGATAATAAGAAAGCCTTTCATCCTTCATTACTATCTTTGCTCTACTTCCCACCCTGGGCTTATTCTTCTAGGGTACAGAGCTGGGATAGTATTTTTTTAACGATTTTTTTTTTTATTATTATTCAATTTGACCAAAAAGAGACAGCAACAGTGACAAAGAGAGAAAGCAAGCTGCCAGGTCTGGGACTTGAATCACAGTCACATGGGAGTCGAGCACCTTTACTACCATACCACCTGACAGCTCAGAGCTGGGACCATTTAATAACGAAGGAACTTGGGGCCAGACAGTGGCACAGTAGTGAAACACAACGCTTTCTGAGGCAATACCACATGAAAATTTTCCTGGTTAAAGTCTAGAGACCTTCCTGAGGCTGCTGAACACACACTCAGGATCTGGCGCTGGCTGAAGTTTGCAGGTGGATGATAGCATCAGGACTCTAAGGATGTTAGATATCTCCTCTCACTCAAGGAAAAAATAAGTAAGGTTTGGAAAGTTAATAATGAATGATTCTGAATAACAAAAATGTATGAGAAAAAAAGGAATCTACACATGTATAAAAATGCTGGGTATAGATAAAATTAAAAATCATACAAATTAAATCATAGAATAATACAGAACTCAGATCCTATGTAATACATCCGGAAATGTATCCTGGGGTTAGCCAGGTAACATGGCGGTAAAAGCAATGGATCCCACATGGTCAATGGTTTGATTCAAGTCTCAGACCTGGAGGGTTGAAAAGCATGGCAGATGTGTGTGTGTGCATACTCAAATTCCTTAAAGAAAATGGAGAAAGAATTGTGTCATCGCTGTTTCCCCCACCCCAGGGAGTGGCTTTCTCACTTATCCTCTCTCTCTGTCCTCTGAGAACACATGCACCTTATAGCAAATTAGAAAAAAAAGGAGAACAGAAGAGAGAGAGAGATAAAGAAAGAAAAAGAATAAAGGCACCCAAGTTAAGAATGATGTTGCATTTTTAAAGGATTCTTTATTAAAAAAAAAAAAAAAAAAGAGAGAGAGAGGGAGGGAGGGAGGGAGAAAGAGAAAGAAAATATGACAGAGGCTATATGCTGTATACAGAGTCTCAAATACTTACTATCTGGTCCTTTACATAAAAAGTTTGCCAACCATTGTTTTATGTCGTAATCTTTACTCACCTTGTAAGTGCAAAAGAGTATTCTCCCAATCAAAACTAGTACATATAAAAGTGCTAATAGGACATACAAGAAGCTCATGAAAAATATGTATTATGAAGAAGTATGCATGCATTTCTAATTTTTTTGCACTAAAAAACACTTCTACTTTAATTCCAGTTTTTCCATGAACATTCTGAAGCTCCCTTGTATAAATAACTCTCCAAACCACCATGGATGGATCTCCTTCCTGGGTGGTCAAGCAGAAACAGTACAGAACTCCAGGACAAAGAAAAGCCACAGCTTTGACAAAAAAGATTTACACATACCAGAGGTAGCACAAGATGCATTAGGAAAACAAAACTCTGCAAAGCTAGTGAAAAAAGGCTAGCGGGAACTAGAGACTTAAAGTGAATTATCGCCAACTGAGTTCAATAATTGCTCTTACAGCCCCAGCTGTTACAGACAAAATCCATACACAGACTGACGGTACATGGTAGGATGTCTTGGGCATTTTCAATGCCTCTTTGCCATACCACTCACACCAAAGGATCAAGATCAGTTCTGCACACACGAGCAAGGCTTCCAATATGTGTTTGAAGTGGTTCCCTGGAAAGACCTAAATACCCTTCCTGTTTGCCACAAATAGGTATGTCAGGATTTAGTGCAAGTGCCTCTATCCTCTAATTTCTAAAGC